AAAAAAAAAAAAATACAGGCCAGGCGTGGTGGCTCATGCCTGCAATCTCAACACTTTGGGAGGCCAAGGCAGGCATCTCACAAGGTCAGGAGTTTGAGACCAGGCTGGACAACATGGTGAAACTCGGTCTCTACTAAAAATACAAAACAAAAAATTAGCCGGGCATGGTGGCACACGCCTGTAATCCCAGCTACTCAGGAGGCCGAGGCAGGAGAATCGTTTGAACCTGGAAATCAGAGGTTGCAGTGAGCCAAGCCTGAGCCACTGCACTCCCCTCTGGGTGACAGAGTGAGATTCTGTCCCAAAAAAAAGAAAAGATCATACATTGTCATCCAGTAGCAAGAAAAGTAGAACTGGGCTGGGCACGGTGGCTCACGCCTGTAATTCCAGCACTTTGGGAGGCCGAGGTGGGCAGATCGCAAAGTCAGGAGATCAAGACCATCCTGGCAAACACGGTGAAACCCCGTCTCTACTAAAAATACAAAAAAAAAATTAGCCGGGCATGGTGGCGGGCGCCTGTAGTCCCAGCTTTTCGGGAGGCTGAGGAAGGAGAATGGCATGAACCCGGGAGGCAGCGGAGCTTGCAGTGAATGGAGATCGCACCACTGCACTCCAGCCTGGGCGACAGAGCGAGACTCCATCTCAAAAAAAAAAAAAAAAAGAAAAGTAGAACTGAATCAAGCAAATGTATTATGCATTTAAAAAGTAAAAAAGAAAAAAAAATTGAACTTTAATGTTGAAAAAATAACTCAAACCAAAGGTCTCATAGTACATACAGAAAACACTATAATATCAAAGGCAAGATCTATTTGAGAAAACATTACTGATTTGCGTATGGCTATAAATATCACTGGGGAGAGTTATTAAACATTTTGAATTTTAGATAAATAACTATGGGGAACTTGTGTTCATGACCTAATATTTCTTCATTCTTTAGTGCTTACAATTAGAGTGTTCCACAAATAAATATAGTCACTACCATACAAATGTTTAATCACATATATAAACATATACGTAACTTATTTTGATACATAAACATTTAGATATGTAAACTTTGCAAACTATGTATTTAGAAGTAAATTTGCTTTTTAAAAGCCCCCAAATACTCTTTTTACAAACCCATTTCCTCCTCTTCCTAGGCACACAACTAGACTTTATTTCCCAATCTTCCCTGGGGTTACATGTGGACATATGATCAAGTCCTAGGTAAATGGTATGTGGGGCAGAGATTATGTACATTCTCTCCAGGCTGAGCCAAAAAAAATCTCTAAAAGCATCTGCCTTTCCTAGCCTGCTATAAGAATGGAGACAACCTGGGGAAAAGCTCAAAGGCCCTAAGGGACACAGAGCCACTAGGGGGAAGGAGTCTTGGTCCCAAAGGACCACACACAGAAGAGTGTCTACTATCACCTCACCTCCATCCACCTAAATTGGACTGTGATGTAAATGAGAAATAAACTTTACTTGTATAGAGCTGCTGATATTTGGAGGGTGTTTAGGTATAGTAGTTGGGCTACCCTGACTAATGCACTATTATAAAAATTTTCCAAACCCTCTCCTATAAGGAATCCTGTCAGGAAATTCCTCTTATATTCAATCCATCAATAAGCACTATAGGTCTGCCTTTAAAATACATCCTGAACCTATTTTCTTATCATTCCCATCTCTATCATCTGCTTCAAGCCCTATCATTCTCTCACCTGAATTAGTGAAAAAGCATGGTATCCTCCCTTCTATCATTGCTCTACTATAGTCTATTTTTCCACACAGCAGGCAGAGTCACCCTTTTTAAAGGAAAATCAAACCATGCCACTCTACTTCAACGGCTCTCAACACAAATAAAACTGAAAGCTCTTACTGTAGTCTAAAAGGGCCCACATTATTTCACCCCCTCAAATTTCATCTTTCTCTCACTCCACTGAAGCCTCAGTGGTCTTTTTCTTTCTGTTTTTAAGTTTATTCCTAATTCAGAATCTTTCCACTTCCTTCCTGGTCCCTCTACTTGAACCTTCTTTCATATCACTGAGGTCTCTGTTCAAACTTCGAATCCTCAGCAAAGGTTTTCCTTAGGATACTATCTAAAATAATCCTCTATCCCCCATCTTCCATCATTCTATTCCCTTATCCTGATTTATTTTTATGAAAGAATTTGATGTATTACCTAAAATTATATTTTATTTTTTGTTTGTTTACTGTCTTATTTCTCCATTAAAATGTAAGTGACTTCGTCCTTCCCATCATGGGTATCCACAGCTCAAAAATTTATTTGTTGAAGAAATAAATTCACATACACATTAATCTATTATAGCAATCATTTTTCTTGCTTAGTCATTTTATTAAAATTCACTACATAGCTTTTTCCCCTTTTTCCTTTCTCATCTATTTTCATGCATAATATATATACACTGCTTTATTTGACTTCCTTTAAGAGCTCTTTTCAACATTACTTTGACAATGGCTAACGTTAAAAAATGAGCAAGTAATCAAAGTCCTTTCCTAAGGAAGTAATCAATCAATGATGCTGATTCAATAAGCATGCCTACCAATATGGATGAAAGAAGAGTGGCCATTTCATGCAGCTATCTTTAACCTCAAGAATACTGCTAAATGATAGTTTCCATAACCCAAGTAATGGAGCAAGAAATAAGAAAATAAGGCTGGGTACGGTGGCTCACGTCTGTAATCCCAGCACTTTTGGAGGCCGAGGCAGGTGGATCAACTGAGTTCAGGAGTTCAAGACCAGCCTGGCCAAATATGGCGAAACTCTGTCTCTACTAAAAATACAAAAATTTGTGGGTGTGGTGACGGGCGCCTGTAACCCCAGCTACTCTGGAGGCTGAGGCAGAAGAATCGCTTGAACCTGGGAGGCAGAGGTTGCAGTGAGCTGAGGTCACACCATTGCACTCCAGCCTAGGCGACAGAGCGAAAACTCTCTCAAACAAACAAAAAAAGAAAATGAAAAAAAAATTAAACCATGAAGAATGGATATGCAGTTATATTCATGTATTAATATCCACATAATAAAATATTACTCAACCACAAAAAAAAATAAACTACTGATATCACAACAGCTAAAACACTATGTTAAACGAAAGAAGTCAGAAACAAAAAGTATGTAGGTATGATTACCCCATGAACAGACAAAACTAACCCACAATGACAGAAATTAAAATGTATAGGTGGAGGGAAGAGGGAAGAGGCAAGATGGCCGAATAGAACCCTCCAGCAACCACCCCCAACTCCCAACAGAACACCAAACTGCACAACTATTCACACAAGAAAGCACCTTCGTAAGAACCAAAAATCAGGTAAGTGATCACAGAATCTGGTTTTAACATCTTATCAAGGAAAAAGCCACTGGTGAGGGTAGGAAAGACAGTCTTGAACTGCCAACACCATCCCTGTCCTATCTTCTGGCGGCAGCCATGTTGTCCAGAGAGAATCTGTGTACTTGTGGGAGAGATAGCACAGCAATTGTGGGACTTTGCACTGAAACTCAGTGCTGTCCCATCACAGTGGAAAGCAACACAGGGCAGAATTCAGTCGGTACCTATGGAGGGAGCATTTAGACCAGCGCTAATCAGAGGGGAATTGTCCATCCCAGTGGTTGGAACCTGAGTTCTGGCTAGTCCTACCATGGCAAGCTAAAGTACTCTGGAGTCATAAATAAACTTAGAAGGCAGTCTACGCCACTAGGACTTCAATTCCTGGGCAAGTCTTGGTGTTGCATGCACTTGGAATCAGTGGACTTGAGGTGCACATGACCCAGTGAGACACCAGGTAGGGCGGCCCAAACAGTGCTTGCATTACCCCTCTCCCAGCACCAGGCAGCACAGCTTGCAGCTCCAGGAAACCTCCTTCTGCTTAAGGAGAGGAAAGTCACATTGTCTTACAACTTGGATATCAGCTCAGCCACAATACAGTAAAGCACCAAGCAGAGTCCTGATGCCCCCATTCCAGGCTCTACATCCCAGATGACATTCCTAGACACACCCTGAACCAGAAAGGAACCAGCTGCCATGAAAGGAAAGATCCAGTCCTGGCAGGATTTATCAACTGCTGCCTAAAAGGTCCTTGGACCTTGAATAAACTTCAGTAGCCAGCAGTGGCCAGGCAGTACTTGCCATGGGCCTTGGGCGAGACCTAGTACCATACTAGCTTCAGATGTAACCCAGTGCATTCCCAGCTGTGGTGGCCACCTTGAGAGACTCCTTATGCCTGAGACAGGGAGACAGAAGAGCAAAAAGGATTTTGTCTTGCAACTTGGGTATCAACTCAGCTACAGTAAAATAAAGCACCAAGCAGACTCCGAAAGTCCCTGATTTCCGGCCTTAGCTCATGGACAGCATTTCCAGACCCACCCTGGGCCAGAAGGGAACCCACTGCTCTGAAGAGAGACCCAAGTCTGGCAGGATTCACCACAAGCTGGCTAAAGAGCCTTCAGGCCTTGAAAAAACGTCAGTGGTAACCAGGCAGTATTCACCACGGGCCTGCGGAGGTGGTAGCCACAGGAAGAGACTCCTTCTGCCTAAGGAAAGAAGAGGAAAGAGTAAAAAGGACTCTGTCCTACAACTTAGGCACCAGCTCAGCCACAGAAAAATAAAGCACCAAGGAGATTCCTAAAGTTCCCAACTCCAGGCCCTAGCTCCCAGCCAGCATTTCCAGACTCACCCTGGGCCAGAAGGGAACCTTCCTCCCTGAAGAGAAGCACAGGAGCCTGTCTGGATTCACTACCCACTGACTAAAGCACCCTAGGGCACTCAGTAAACATCAACAGTAGCCAGGCAATAGTCACCACAGGCCTTGGGCAAGACCCCATATTGTGCAGACTTCAGGTCTGATCCAGCGCAGTCCAAGAGGTGGTGGTCATGGCAGTGCTTGGGTCATCCCTCCCCCAATTCCAGGCAGCTCAGCAAGGAGACACAGACTCCACCAGTTTGAGGAAAAGTAAGGGAAGAGAACAAGAGACTCTGCCTGGTAATCCAGATAATTCTACCAGGACTAACCCAGACCACAAAGGCGGTACCTCTATGAGTCTGTAAAAGCCACAGCGTTACTGGGGCTTGGGGTGTATCCTAATGAAGAGACAGCTACAATAACCAAAGACAGATCATAATACTCAATTCACTTAGAATACTTGGAAAACCTTCTAAAGAAGGACAGGTACAAAAAAAGCCCAGACTGCAAAGATTACAACAAATACCTAACTCTTCAATGCCCAGACACCAACGAACATCCACAAGTATCAACACCACCCAGGAAAACATGAACTCACCAAACATACTAAATAAGGCAGCAGTGAGCAAACCTAGACAGAGATAGGTGACCTTTTAGAGAATTCCAGATCGTTGCTTTCAGGAAGCTCAACAAAACTCAAGATAACACAGAAGAAATTCAGAATCCTATCAGATAAACTTAACAAAGACTAAAATGATTTTTAGAAATCAAGCAGAAATTTGGGAGCTAAAAAATTCAACTGACAATCTGAAGAACGCATCAGAGTCTCTCAACAGCTGAATTAGTCAAGCAGGAGAAACAATTAATGAGCTTGAAGATAGGCTACTTGAAAATACACAGAGAAAGACAAAAGAAAAAAGAATAACATAAGAATAAAGCATGCCTACAAGATCTAGAAAATAGCCTCAAAAGGGCAAACCTAAGAGTTATTGAGGCTGGGTGCTCGATCACACCTGTAATCCCAGCACTTTGGGAGACCAAGGTGGAAGGATCACTTGGGCCCAGGAGTTCAAGACAGCCAGGCAACATAGAGAGATTCCATCTCTACAAGATAAATATTTTTTAATTAACCGGATGTGGTTGCACAAGCTTGTGGTCCCAGCAAAGGAGGCTGAGATGGATCACTTAAACCCAAGAGGTCAAGGCTGCAATGAGCCATGATCATGTCACTGCACTCCAGCCCAGCCTGGATGACAGAGCGAGATCCCATCTATAGAGCTATAGTAACCAAAACAGCATAAAAACAGACGAATGAAACAGAATGGAGAACCCAGAAATGAATCCATACATCTATAGTGAATTCATTTTTGACAAAGGTGCTGAGAACACACACTGGGGAAAAGACAGTCTTTTCAATAAATAGTGCTTGGAAAACTGGATATCCATACGCAGAAGGGAGAAACTAGATCCTCTCTCTCACCATACACAAAAATCAAAATTAAAATGGATTAAAGATCTAAATCTAGGACCTGAAACTATCAAACCACTAAAAGAAAACATTGGAGATCTCTCTAGGACATTAGTCTGGGCAAAGATTTGTTGAGTAATACCCCAAAAGCTCAGGAAACCAAAGCAAAAATGGACAAATAAGATTACATCAAGTCAAAAAGCTTCCGCATAGCAAAGGCAACAATCAGTAAAGTGAACAAACAACCCACAGAATGGGAGAAAATATTTGCAAACTGTCTATTTGACAAGCGATTAATAACAAGAATATATAAGGAGTTCAAACAATTCAACAGGAAAAAAACCTAAAAATCTGATTTTAAAATGGGCAAAAGACTGGAATAGACATTTCTCAAAAGACGTACAAAATGGCAAGCAGGTATATGAAAAGGTACTCAACATCAGGTACTCAACAAGCAGGTATATGAAAAGGTGCATTAGAGAAATGCAAATCAAAACTACAATGAGATATTATCTTACCACAGTTAAAATAGCTTTTATCCAAAAGGCAGACAACAAATGCTGGCAAGGATGTAGAGAAAAGGGAACACCTGTACACTGTTGGTGAGAATGTAAATTAATACAGCCACTATAAAGAACAGTTTGAAGGTTCCTCAAAAAACTAAAAACAGAACTACTACATGATCAAGCAAATTAACTGGTACGTATATACTCAAAAGAATGGGAATCAGTATATCAAAGCGGAATCTGCACTCCCGTGTTTATTGCAGCACTATTCACAATCACCAAGATTTAGAATCAACCTAACTGTCCATCAACAGACAAATGGATAAAGAAAATGTGATGCATATAACACAATGAAGTTGGTATTCAGCCATAAAAAAAGAATGAGATCCCATCATTTGCAACAACATGGTTGGAACTGCAGGATATTATGTTAAGCAAAATAAGCCAGGCACAAAAAGACAAACTTTGTATTATCTCATTCATTTGTGGGAGCTAAAAATTAAAATAATTTTAACTCATGAAAATAAAGAGTAGAGTGATGGTTATCAGAGGCTGGGAAGAATATTAAAGGGGCGGAGGAGAGTGGGGATGGTTAATGGGTACAAAAATATAGTTAGAATGAATAAAACGTAGTATTTGACAGCACAACAAGGTGACTACAGTCAACAATAATTTATTTTACATTTAAAAATAACTAAAAGAAGTATAATTGAAATGCTTATAACAAAGAAATGATAAATGCTTGGGGTAGATACCCCATTTGCCCTAATGTGATTATTATACACTGTATGCTTGTATCAAAATATCTCAAGTACCCCATAAATATATACAACTACTACGTACCCATAAAAACTAAAAAGTTTTAAAAAGCATAGATGGGGCAGAGAAGAAGGGACTGACTGAAACAAGAGGGAACTCTCTGGAGTTGATGGAAATGTTATGCTTATTTTTGGTGGTGATTATACCAGTGTATACCATTTTCAAAACTCATACTGAGCACTTATGATCTGTGCACTTTATTGTATGTTAATTGTTTCTCAGTTAAAATGAATTTTAAAAAGATACCGCCACACATCTAAGAAAGCAAAATATACGTAAGGTCGCAAGAAGACCTAAATACATGGAAAAATACACTATATCCAATAAATTGACTTCAGTATCACTAAGAAGCCAACTCTCCTGCAAAATGATATACAATTCCAACAAATTCAGTACAATTCCAAACAAAATTCTAGTAGGTTCTGAACAAATTAACAAGCTGATTCTCAATGTGTATTTGAAATCTAATGGACCTAGAATAGCCAAGACAATCTTAAAGAATAACAAAGTTGGAGGACTTATACTACCAAATAGCAAGACTTAGTACGAGGCCACAAAAAGTATAGTACTTGGTACAAGGAGAGACATAAGAGAATCCAGAAACAGGCTCCTATACAATCATGTTCTAACTTAAAACAAAGATGCCACTGCAATTCAGTATGGGGAAAGGAAAGCCTTCTATGTCAATGGTGCTGAACCAACTGGATTGTCTAGAAAAATTAATTCATGGACAAAAATTACTTTATGACGGATCATAGACCATGAAAGGTAATAAAATTAACATTTCCAGAATAGACCCAATAAGAAGATTTACATGAGCCAGGCACGGTGGCTCACACCTGTAATCCCAGCACTTTGGGAGGCCAAGGCAGGTGGAACACCTGAGGTCGGGCATTCACCAGCCTGAGCAACATGGAGAAACCCTGCCTCTACTAAAACTACAAAATAAGCCGGGCATGGTGGTGCATGCCTGTAATCCCAGCTACTCAGGAGGCTGAGGCAGGAGAATGGCTTGAACCCGGGAGGCGGAGGTTGCAGTGAGCTGAGATCATGCCACTGCACTCCACCCTGGGCAACAAGAGTGAAACTCCGTCTCAAAAAAAAAAAAAAAAGAATATTTACATGAACCTAGAGTGGGATCTTGAACAGAAACACACACACACACACACACACACACACACACACAACGTACTAACCATAAAAAATAATAAATTTGACTTTATTAAAATTAAGAACTTCTATTCAATAAAAACCATTGAGAGTAAAAAGGCACAAAAGATACCTGCAATACACATATCAAACCAAAGACTTATATCCAGATTTTTGTAAAAACAGCTAAAAATAAGAAAACAACTGCCCAATCTTTTTAATGAGCAAAAGACTTAAACAGATTATGATGAGGATATATAAAAGGCCAAAATGGATATGAAAAATAAACTCAACATCTGTGGTAGATCATTGTTCAAAAATATTCACTTCTTACTTATCCTTATGTGCACTGAAGACATATACTTTTGCAACTATGAATTTGGGCTACACCACAACTGAGTTTAAGGAGTAGGTCAGCAGACATATCATAAACTGGTCTTGAAATATGCTTGAACAACCGAATATGCCTTCTTGCACTTGTGTTACCACCAAGAAAAGAATATGCCCCATCTGGCCTACTGGTGCACATAAGAAGATGAGATACACAAAGCAGAGCTGTCCCAGCTGACCCACAAATCCATAACCAAGAAACAAATACTTGTGTACCACTGGAGATTTTCAGGTTAAGCAGTAATAGTTGACTAATATAGGCCAAGTGTGGTGGCTCACACCTGTAATCCCAGCACTTTGGGAAGCCGAAGCGGGGGGATCACAAGGTCAAGAGATCGAGATCATCCTGGCCAACATGGTGAAACCCTG